ATGTGTGTGTGTGTGTGTGTGTGTGTGTGTGTGTGTGTGTGTGTGTGTGTGTGTTGCCCACAGAGCATAAGCATCAGATCCCCTGGAACTGGAGTTACAGGCAATTGTGAGCTGTCTGATATGGATACTAGGAACCAAACATGGGTCCTCTGCACGAGCAGCTAGTGCTCTTAAATGCTGAGTCATTTCGCCAGCCCCAAGCACGTGGTTCTTCATCTGCAGATATAGAGCTTGGCTTCATTATTCTTGGAGGATTAGGAGCTCAAATTCATCCTTGGCTACATAGTGAGTTCAAAACTGTAATATATTCCTGTGATCATAAATGTCAAAGATGGTTAAAGACTGTTTTAATGGGCCCAAATTAGAATTTTTGTTGCTATTGTTTTGGGTTTCTTTTTGTTTTAAAATTTGCATGTCTTCATAGAAAGAATCTCTGTTGTCCAATGGTGTTGTAGAATTATCCCTGAGAACCCAGCAGACCAGAGCTGGAAGACAAATTTTTAGAATACCTAGATTCTCTTTTCTGTTTTTGTCTGCTTGGTCAAAGAATTACTTGAGTTTTTTCTCAAACCTTCAGTGCTGGTTGATCTGATTATTTCTCCTTATAATCCCACTTATCACCATTTACACACCACACAATATATATATATATATATATATATATATATATATATATATATATATATATATCCATGCATGTACATTATATTTAGGTATAATATATTTATATTCATATATATTTTAAAAATACTAATAAATTGTTTTATTTTTAATAAATAAAACAGGGCTGGAGAGATGGCTAAGGTAAAAGAACTTGCCTTGCAAATGTATAGATCAAAATTCGGATCATCAGAACCACAACAGATAGGCAGACATGGTGACCCACTTGTAATTACAAGAAGGAGCCCAGTGTCTCTACAGCAAGCTGGCTAGCTAGACTAACCTTCACCTGTGGGTTCTGGGTGCAGCTGAGAGACTCTGCCTCAAGGAATAAAGTGGAGAGTGATTAAAGGAGAATCTTTTTGTTTTGTTTGTTTTTGAGACAGGGTTTCTCTGTGTAGCCCTGGCTATTCTGGAACTCCCTCTCTACAACAGGCTGACCTTAAACTCAGAGATTCACCTGCCTCTGCCTCCCAAATGCTGAGATTAAAAGAGTTCACTGCCACCACTACCACCTGGTGAAGAAGATTCTTAACATCAACCTTGAAGATCCACACATTTGTGTACAACACACACTCACATGTATACCATACACATATGCACAAGGAAAATAATAAAAAGTTAAACAAATAACTTGAAAATGGTGAATTTTCTTTTCTCATTACAAAATAGTCCACTTTAACATTCATATGTTGTAAATTTTTGGAAGGATTGGGTTATTTTACCTTAAAAATGATACTTCACAAGGTAAGGAAGGCCACTGGCTGAGAAAAATATGCCAAGGCATAGAGAACTTTCTCCAAAGTTCCTCCTGAGAATGTGGAACATAGAAGCTTTTTCTTTTTCATTCTCTTTTAAGGTATGTAAACATATCTCATGTGACCCTGTCTGGAGGTTGACTTACTATGTAACCTAAATTAATCCTGAAATCCTAATCCTCCTGCCTCAGCCTCCCAAATGCTAGGATTATAGCATTTACTACCATACCCAGCTTGTCATGACCTTTTCTCCTTTCTATTCTCGTGCTTGGTTTCCTGGCATTTTTTTTTTTTTTTTTTTTTTTTTACTTATATCCTGCACTTAATTTTTATAACTGGTGTGTGTGTGTGTGTGTGTGTGTGTGTGTGTGTGTGTGTGTGTGTGGTTGAGGATAGAACCCAGGGCTTTGTATGTGCCAGGCAGGCACTCTACCATTGAGCTGCATCACCAGTCCAATAACTAAATGAAAAGTAAGAACAGCAACTTGAAGTCAGCCATAGTAGTGCACTCCCATAATCTCAACCCTGCAAAGGCAGGCAGATCTCTGTGAGTTTGAGGCTAGCCTGGTCTACATAGCAAGTTCTAGGACAGCAGGGATACACAAAACTACCTGTTCAAAAAAAAAAGAAGATGGCGGAGGAGGAGTACTTTTTAATGTTCAAATGCAATTTGCTCCTTAAATATGAAGCCCAGTGAGCACATTTCCACACCATACTCTCACTACCTTTAAAAAGCAGAGTGCTATAAAGCACATAGTCTATAGAAAAGGCGCCATAATGCTATGTACAATACACTACGTGTCTTTGGTTCCAATTGTACCAACTCTATGAAAGTTGGTTTTGGAGATGAGTGAGGATTATCTTTAGATATTTGACCAACAAGTCACCATATTCCATGATTTGCACATGAATTTTGAAGAAATTTCCAATAGCATTTCTTCATTTCTCCCCCATTGTGATTCCACGTTCATCCATCTGATTTGTTGTTGATGCCAGAATGAGGCAGATTCTCCACCTCAAGACACTATTTCCTTTGTTTTCAGAAAGAAAACAGATTTTCTTAGTGCACTGTAAGGGCTGTAGGTTAGGCAGCAACAAGGGGTACCGCCTATAGATAACACACTGTATCTGAGACTGGCCTGTGGTGATGCCACTGTCACAAAAACATATTTTATGCAGTACAATGACCCCAGAGAAGGAAGATATACACATGGAAGAAAGCTGTTTCCCCTTAAGTGCTTTAGCCAAGCCACACCAAGAACAAAGTTGTGGGTAAGTCCAAACAAAACTGAGTGAGACGACCTGAAAGCTAATGACTACCAAAGGACATACCACATGGGTGCTGTAATAACAAGTTTTTTGTTTGTTTGTTTGTTTGTTTGTTCTTAGTTTTTTTTAAACAGGGTCTCTCTGTGCAGCCCTGGCTGTCCTGGGACTCATTCTGTAGACCAGGTTGGCCTTAAACTCAGAGAGATCCACCTGCCTCTGCCTTCATCCTGAGTGCTGAGATTAAAGGTGTGCACCATCATCACCCATTGCAAGGTTTTTACAGTTATAGTTCTGTACTGTGGGTTTGTTTATTACACAGCAATATGCCCCCAAAGTCTAACGACATCTAGCCATTAGAGTCATGGGGAAACATAATTGTTAGTGAGTCTGAATCTAGCTCTGGGGCTCTTCTGATGACTGAGTTCCCAGTGTGAGCTGCAGCACTCTTACTCACTTGAGAGCTTACCTGGGTTTGCTTCAAGCCCAGAAGGGCCTCTGCAGCCAGGACTTGTTCTCCCTCCATTGATCTGCTCATGGGAAGAGGAGTTTGAACTGAATGATGCTGGTCCAGTAACAGCAGGACTGATCACTGTCCCAAGAGAAAGAAAAGAGGGTGTTAGGTGGCTCCTTTCTTAGACAACAAGAAGCCAAGTACATGTGAGACCATGAGGCCATCCTATGACTGCCCTGCATCATAAAAGCCATGCTAAAGTAAAACCACAGAGCTTCAAGATAGTAGAGAGTCATGGATTATAACTAACTGAACAGATTTATAATGTATCCAAGCCCACACTGATAAAATAGTGAGTAAACATGAAGGTAAAGCTCTTTTCATACACACAGATGCCAAGAAGTAAATAAGGATGGATGTTTGTTCCTTTAAAAAAAATCTAATCAATCATTCAATAAACAAAGCCCCATTTGGCAGCCACTGTGATAAAACTAGTTAAAATAAGATTGAGTGTGGAGGCTGAACTTTGTGAGTAGAATTGACAGTGGTGGGGTATTGACAGAGCCTAAAGCTGTTCCCTGAAGTGAAGAAAGCCAGGGGACTCCAAATTAATAAGTAATCCAGCTCCATACCAATAGTAGTGGACAAGCCTTATCTCCAGCCTCCAGAGGTGACTGAAATTCTCAGTATGCTGTTTTACTGAGAAAAGAGGCAAAAATTAGAGGTAGCCTATTCACTAGTTAAGATTTCATCCAGATACACTTACTGGCTTTAACAACAACACCATTCCCATGGAAGAAAATGTCCTTTCCTCTGAGAGGAGTTCATAAGTGGAAATATTTGTAATTGTGAATTGATTTCTGAGAAAATACATCATACAGTAGGTATGGTATGGTAGTTTGAATGAGAAAATATATAATACGTATGTATGGTATGGTAGTTTAAATGAGAAATGTTCCCCATGGGTTCTTTTATCTTTCATCCAAGGCTGGTGGTGCTGTTTGGGGAGGTTATTTACTACTTAGATGCAACTTTGCTGAAGAAAGTACTTCACTGAAGGCAGTCTTTGAAGGTTTCCAGCCTCACCCCTCTCCCTTCTTGCCTTCTCTGCTTACCATGAGAATGAAATGTGACTGGACAGCTTCCTGCTCCAGCCACCACCTTCCCAGCAATTATGGACTCTTACCCTCCGGAACTGTAAGCCAAAATACACTCTTCCCTCTATAAGTTGTTTCTGGCCATGGTGTTACATCATAGCAACAGAAAAAAGGATACAGCAGGGATACCAGGAGGCGTGTGTGTGTGTGTGTGTGTGTGTGTGTGTGTGTGTGTGTGTGTGTGTGTGTTGAGGCAGAGAGCACACACGCATGCAAAGTGAATGGGAGGGGAGCAAATCTTATTTATTCTAAGTGTGTCAAATCCTAAGGCTGGAATGCCTTGTTTTAAGCTTGTAACTGCTCTGTACATCTGAGTTTTATTTCCAAAAAAAAAAAAAAAAAAAAATCTGTTGGTGGTTCCTACTATACATCATATGTTGCTTTGCTGGGTGTGCCACTCAGTTGTAGCTGAGGAAGTGAGAGATGGTAGGTAGTGAACACTCCCAGTAACAATGTAGCACAGATACCCAAAAAGGTCATTTACTGAGGCTTCTTGGGCAGTAGTGGTTCACTCTGCAGATGTTCCCAGCAGCCAAGTCAGGGGGTAGAATAAGCAAGCCAGGTGACAATAAGCCACCAACCCCTGATAATTCTAACTGTAAGCAACTGAATTACAATAAAAATGGGGTACAGCAGCAGTCCCAGCTACTCAACAGAAAGTTGCTTCAGCCCAACAGTTAGTCTGGGCAACATGGAAAGATTCTGCCCGCCTCTACACCACTAAAAGAAGGCTCAGAAGGTGCTAACTAGCAAAGCTGGCACACAGGCTTCTAGCATACAGGCTCCTGGGTCTCAAAGTATAAAGAAGCAATGTGAACTCTGGATCCAGATGACACGGGGAGTAGCTAGCAGAACTTCAGACTCATTATTATGACAGCCATTTATCACTGTGGCATGGGTGTGCAGACATGGTGGCAATGTAGGTGATTACACTCTATTTTCCCAGCAAAGAACACATTGTAATTACACCAGAACAGGAGATGACAGCTCACTTCTGGCTGGCTTCACATAATACCAGAGTGTATGATCTAGCTTAAGGGTACAACATTAAACACAGAGGCAACCTCTGCCTTGTCTGTCTGGTGCTGTGGCAGGTAACCTTATCAGAAGTTAAGCAGAAGGGGAAGAGTTTAATCAGGCAAAGGCCAAAAAGGTTTTCACACACAGAGAGATATTTTTCAGAGATCTTTCACCAAGCAACTAAACAGCAATGGTTACCCAACTGTACATGTGTGTCAAAACTCCTAGTATATTATGAAGATGGACTTGGAACTGGCAAAGAGAGTAACAAGAACAATCCGGTCCCATTAAAAAGTGTTTTACATACTGAAACCAGGATCACCTTCTTTCATCCACCATCCCACCATTTTTCATAAAATAGGTATCACAGTTGAAAAAGCCAGACTGAGGCTTGACTCCTGGGCATAGCTTGCAAATGACTGCTATTGTGGTTTCAATGTGAAATGTTCCCTTTAGTCTCATGAAGTTGAACAACTGGTCCCCAGCAGGGAGTGCTGTTTTGGGAGGTCATAGAATCAATATGAAGTGGACATTTGATGGAAGAAGTACACTCACTGAAGGAAGACTTGGAGATCTGACCCCTGTTTTCTCTCTCTTGACTTTCTGTGTGATGATGGAATGTGATCAGCCAGCTTCTTGCATCTGCCACCATGCCTTGCCCTACATGTTGCATGGCTTCTCAGTCATGATAGACTGTTCCCAAATAAACCCTTTTTCCCCTAGAATGCTTTTTGTCAAAGTATTTTATTACAGCAACAGAAAAGAAAATGAATACAATTGCTAATAGAAGCATCTTCGAAAAACCAGCATTTCATGACAGAGCTCAGCTTCCTGGAATTTGATCCTCTACTAATTGGACTATGCAAACAAAGATCCTGTCTTTAACTTTTTGGTTTGTGCCTCCACTGCTCAACAACATAGACACAGTTCCATAATGTGAGTTAGTACCTACTTGCTCATCATTACTAGTGATGCAGATACAAGACTTATTGGCTCTGGTTATCCATTTCCTTATGAGAAACTCTAATAAATGCAAAGTGAACTACTACAACTAACACTCTGGCTTGATCTTCCTGGTTGCTCTCTGATTTACATAAAAGGAAATGTACCTGTTTGGATTCCTAGTGGGCTAGTTCTGGAAGAGGTTGAGAGAAAATCCTGATCCCAGATAGGAGAATTTTGACTATACACTTCTTCTTCCAACATAGACAGAAACCTAGACACAAAAATAAAAACAAGAGTGAACTTCTAAAAATTATAAGTATTCCCCAAGGCTCAGAGACCATCTTAGAAGAGGGAACAAAAAGACTGTAAGAGCCAGATGCCAGGAAGGACTGAGGCAATGCATTGTCCTCTGGACATGAAAATACAACTGCATTCAGTAACTCACAGCATTCATGGATGGCTGCACAAGACCTGCACAAGATCAAGCCAGTCCATATTCCAGGTGGAGAGAGGGCAAGGCTCATAAGCCCGCACCCCAGCTGAGGAGTTATTGTCAGGTGATGGCTTATGGGGAAGGGAAGTCAACCATGCTCCAGTGTATGGTCCCACAATGCAAAGTATAGGGGCAGCACAAATTGGACTTGATGGGTCATTTAAAAATAAATAAAAACACAAAGGGTATTAGAGAGGTGGGGTGGATCTGGGAGGAGTTAGTGGGGATGGATATGATTAAAGTACATGAAATTCTCAAAGAATTAATAACAATATTTTTAATAAAAATAGGGGCAGAAAAAAAATGGCTGAGTGGTCAAAAGCATTGGCAATTCTTCCAGAAGACCCAGGTTTAATTCCCAGCATCCACATGGTGGCTCACAAACATCTGTAACTTCAGTTCCAGTGGATCTGATGCCCTCTTCTGGCCTCTGTGGACACCATGCATGTACTCAGTGCATAGATATACATTCAGGCAAACCACCCAAACAAATAAAATAAAAAACGTTTTAAATAAATAAAAAATAAACCTTAAATTTATTACAAGATAAAAGCCTCAGTCACTCATAGCAACCACCCTAGGACAGGGTTTTTACTTCAGCTATAAAATATATTAGAGTTATGACTGAAATGATGATTTCAGATGGGCATTCCTGTATATTCAAATACAGAAAGTGTTTCTATGAATATCTCCTTTTAATTCTGCCTAGCTTGGTGGGACACTGGCTACAGAATACTAATAAACTCTAACCAGATGTGTGCTTGATGGGGCTCCCAGCGGATGCCAGCTCTCCATGTAGCTGCCATTGGCATCGCCACCACCAATGTTGTAATGTACTGATTAGGCACCTGCACTGTTTCTGCAGCTTCTGGAACTTCATACTGAATCACCTCAGCACCTCTGTGAACTACAAATCTCCTTACCACACATCTGTACACAACTCTTACTACTTGACAGTACTGTGAGGGGTTGACACATTTAGTTGAACCTCATAAAGCTACTATGAAAGAATCCACTGCACCCATGGAAACATGTAAGGTTCACCCATGACTACTAAATGGCAGAGTGTGAATTGAGACCAATTGTGAGTCACTGTACTCACTCCCCAACCTACTATAAATCAACTACATCTCAAGTTTTGGAGGCCAAAATCAATAGATACCCCAATGACACCACAGATTATGTTTTTCCCCACTTCTGATTCAGGGAGGAGAAACAGAAATAAAGAAGAGAGAGAAAAAAGATGGAGTGAGAAATTTATAAATAGAGGTGGAGAAAGAGGGAAAGGAGGAGGAAGGATTCTTGTAACAACAGAGACGGAAAAGGTGCAAGTTGAAACCAGTACAAGAGACCAGGCCTAATGGCACCAGTCTATAATCTCAGCTACTCAGGAGGCAGAGGCAGAAAGATCACCATTTCAAGACCAGTCTGGGTAATTCAGCAAGGGACTAAATGAGTAACAGCTGGGTCACACCTTTCATCCCAGGACTTGTGAGGCAGAGGCAGACAGATCTCTGTGAGTTCAAGGCAGCCTAGTCTACATAGCAAGTTCCAGACCAACAAGAAATCAGGGCTACATAATGAGACTCTGTTTCAAGAAATAAATAATATGGGAGAGAGGGGAAACTGGGAGGAGCAGAGGGAGGGGAAATTGTGATTGGGATGTAATATATGAGAGAAAAATAAATTCAAAAAAAAAAAAAGAAATTAGTCAAGGCAGGCAGTAAAAGGAAAGGCAACATATAAAGATAGGAAGGGGGTGTGAAATTCAGGAGAGAACCAAAGAGCCCTCACTGTGTGCTGGGGAACCAGGTCCTAGATCTCCATCTGACACATACAGTCAGACTCAAAGAGCACCTCAGACTCCTAACATGTGGGTTCCATAGTCTCGAATGTTGTCACATGCTATGAAAGGGGATTTAAAAGAAGTAGGTGGTAGTTTTACCCTACCATTAGTAACGGAAGAAGGAAAGAGAGCAGCCTTGATTTCTCAGCTCAGCACACAGGCATGCCAGAACTGTGAGCTGAGGGAACACACTATAATTAGCAAATATCTACAAAGAGCAAAATAATTTTGCTATGGGGGAAAAAAACTGTCACTATACAAATTAAAAATTCTCCATTAGCACTATAAGAGGTGTTTGGCTCAGGGTCCCTCTGCATCCCTTGACAGAGATAGATAGCTACAGTCTGAAGGTAGAATTCTCCTTAACTGGCAAATTAGAAAAATTAAGTGTGAAGTGGCTTTAACATGTAGAAAAGGAGCTTTAAAAGACTGAAAAGTGGCCTCTGTGATACTGTATTATCAGAATCACAGGTCTTCTATCTGAGGTAGCATGCAACCTGTACTTTCTCCTGGAATCCTATATATTTCATAACTAGAATTTTGTTCCCTGTTGCTTATGCCTCCATCTCATATATTGGTTTTCTTAGAAAAAGTTCATACTACAAATGTTGGGTATTGAATTCCAGCCCTTCAACATTATCTATAGCATTCCCTAAATCAGCCTTTAGATTTGGATCAAACAGTCAAGGAGAGTTCCATAATCTCTATCAGAAAACAATCTCTATTGTTGTGTGTGTTCATGTGTGAGCACACTGTGTGCGTGTATGCGTGTGTGTGTGTGTGTGTGTGTGTGTGTGTGTGTGTACATGCATACAAGTATGTAAGCACATGTAATGCTGGGGATAAAACCCCTAATAGATAAAAACTCTATTACCGAGGGACATCCCCAGTCCTGAACCTTTTTGTTGTAATATTTTGTTTGCTACATTTATTTATCTATTTATTTATTCATTTATTTCGAGACAGGGTTTCTCTGTGTAGCTTTGGAGCCTGTCCTAGATCTCACTCTGCAGACCACATTGGCCTTGAACACACAGAGATCTACCTAGCTCTGCCTTCCAAGTGCTGGGATTAAAGGCACGCAGCACTGCCGCCCGGCTACTTTTATTTTTTAAATTAGCTTACAAAATAACAGGTTTCCACATAGGGTTTTGATACATATTTCAATTTAGTTGATCCCTAACCCCCAACCCAAGACCCATCTTATTCTTAAAAATTAGAAAGTATGTTTAGAGACAGATTTGGTGATACACACCTGTAATCCCAGTACTAGGAAGGCTTAGGCAGAAAAAAAAACTGAGAGTTCAAAGCTAGCCTAGACTACAGAGTGAGACCTTGTATCAAAACATGAACTGTTAACATCTTTCCTGAAATACAAACTGGGTAATTCAATAACAATATCTTAATAATAAAAATTCAGTTTTTCTGTGGCTGGAGATATGGCTCAGCAGTTAAGATAATATATTGCTCTTGTAAGAAGGACCCAAATTAAATTCCCAGAACCCACATCAAGTGTGTTCACAACCGCCTGCAACTCCAGCTCCAGCAAAACCAAGCACCTCTGGCCTTCTCAACCATCAGTGGTTACATACACAAACCACACACAGACACATACACATAATTAAAAATCAAATAGATCCAAATATTAGTTTTTCCAAAAGCATAATTCAATAATCTTTGATCAAAGAATACAAAACTGCTTCTCCTAGTATGTTCCAAATGGATAGTTTTTAGTGGGACAGGGAAGAACTGCTTTGTCACTCCTGTTAGTTTTTGAATCTTTACTCTTTTTCACTATGCACCAATTCAGGCATAATTTAAAAAAAAAAATCTCCACCCACCCCCAAAAACTCAACCATCTATCTCATTCATGTATTGCTGTCCTTGGTCAACAAGTCAGCCCCTCTCCAGCAGCCAACCTCTTAGCTTAAACTCGTGGTTCTAGCCTGGGGATATAGCTCACTGGCCGACTACATACCTAATGTGTGAAGCCCTAGGTTTGGCCCCAAGCACTGGGATGGAGAAACAAAATCCTTATAATCCCAAAGTCCAGAATATAGCACTTAAACTTCCTTTTGCTGTAACATATTTTCTGAAAGATTATATATGCAGCAAAGCAAGATCTAAGAGTCACAGAGAGTGTGCATTCTACGAGCAACAGTTCAGAGGTACAAAGCTGAACAGAAGGAAGCTTCCACCCCAGCTCTGGCAGGCTGCTTTTGAAAGGGCCAGGAGCGAAGAGGTGGGAACTTCACCAGGGTTCAGAGAGGATTAGCCAGTGGGTTCCTCTGCACCTCCTGAATGGACAGAAACTGTACCTACATGCTCTCCCTCATCCATCTTTAACATCCTGGTAGCTGAAATACATAGAGCAAAATAAGGGCTGTGCCTGCACAAGACTGGCCCTCTCACAGTCAGTCACAGCTCTGAGTTAGACACATACCTCACTGATAAGCTATTGGTATTGACAGACTCTGAGGGTGAAGAGACATTGCCTTCAGTTGTGTATCCACTGGTGGACCCACAAAATACAACAGATAGTTTCAATCCCATGGCCACATAGACAGTCTTGGTAGAACACAGAGGGACAAAACTAAATAAGAATATGTGAATGTGGAAAAGAAGTTAGTCTGGGAGAGGAGGTAGGCAATAAAAGAAAGTAGAGGTCAGAGCAATCAGAATGCATTATATACATATATGAAATCGTCAAAGAATAACAAGTGCTGTCGGATGTTGTGGTGGTTCAAAAGAAAAATGAACCCCAAAAGGAGTGACACTATTAGGAAGCGTGGCTTTGTTGGAGTAGGTGTCGCCTTGTTGGAAGAAGTGTGTCACTGTGAGGGGCAGGTTTTGAGGTCTCCTGTGCTCAAGCTACACTCAGTGTGGCACACAGCTGCTTCCTGTTGCCTTCAGATCAAGATGTAGAACTCTCAGCTCCTTTTCCAGCACCGTGTCTGCCTGCATACTGCCATGCTTCTCACCATGATGATAATGGACTAAACCTCTGAACTTTAAGCCAGTCCCCATTAGATGTTTTCCTTATAAGGAAAATGGTTGTGGTGTCTCTTCACAGCCATAGAAGCCCTAACTAAAACAGAAGTGGTGGTATACACCTTTAACTCCAGAACTCAGGAGGCTGAGACAGGCAGATATCTGTATGTTTGAGGCCAGCCTAATCTACATAGTGAGTTCAAAGACAGCCAGGGTCTCAAAAAATATAAACAAATAAAAATAAAATAAGTACAGGTTTGCTGTATGGAATGCAGAGATATTTCCTGGGAACTGAGGGTTCTTCTTCTTCTCAGGATGCTTTCTCTAATGTTCATGATTTTGGTACTTAAGTTGGCTTTGGCTTGTTCTCCATAACCTCAGACCCTGGGATAAAGCAAAGCCCCACAAGCACACCCCCTTACTTTGGGAAATGTGTGAGGATTAGCGTGCGTTTCTCAAGAGGCAGTTTGTCTTTTTCCTGTCTAGCTTGCTCCAGGAGCTGTCGTCTCATGATGGTGAAAACCGAGCGAAGCAATGTTCTCCCAAACACCTTTGTGGTTTCGTACCGAGGTAGGCTGTCACAGAACTGCGGCACATTGCAGTAGCACAACCACCTGTAAGAAGAGGAGACAAGTGCCATTAGGGGGCTACCAAGTCCCAGTCATCCAAAACACCCAATCACAGAGACCTTCTAAACAATGAAGCTTGGCTAAAGGAACTAGGCCTTTGATGACAGCCAATAAGATCACTACCAGGTAAGTGAGCCTGGGATGAGACAAGCTGGCCCTTATACACCCTCTGTGGCTGCATGTGGGCCTCTTCCTATTCTGTCATCATACAGGGAACCTGAAGTCCAATACTGCTTTGTCACTTGACCATCTTACATGGAAATATCACATTGTTCAGTGCCCACATTCTTGTCTATAAGACAGGGACAAGTCACAGTGAATTCACCAGATTTTCTATGGACTGAGATAGCATGTTTAAGGTACAGAGTGTAATTTGATTTTGATTTAGATTGAGATTATAGTCCAGGAACTATAGCCTATAAACCCTGCACTTTGGATGCTAAGGTAGATGGGTACTGAAGATTGAGCCCAACATTCCTGCATGCCAACAGCGAAGCTTCTGAGGGCCAGGGAGGAGAATCTGTACCTAACTCACTGAACACCAAGGGAAGTATGGCTGCCTGGGTCACTGAATCTTGGGAAGTCAAAATGCAGCACAATCAGATGTATTGTGTGGTATAATCCTGTCACTGTTTGTGTAAAGTCAGATTGACAGATCACATCAATTAGAAAACCTATTCATCTGAAGCATCCTATTTTTAAAGATAGTAAGGATCTAAAAAAGCACATAATATCACATCTAAGTGGCCTAAATGACCATATCTAATTACAGAGAGTTGGGAAATGACTGTTTTCTATAAATTATTTGGTAGGTATAAGATATTTTAATAGTATAAGTACTTAAAATATTTTAAAAATTAAAGAAGGAAGTATGTATATAAAGTGAGGTTTGAGATGTAGCTCTGAGGTAGAATGCTTTCTTAACATAAGTAAGGTCCTGGGTTTGATCCCCAGGACTGACAAGAAAAAAAAATAAACTGTGTAAGTGAGAAAGAAAAAGGAAAGCAACAGAGAAACTCCCTTTTGTAAGATCACCTAAGGGGGAAGCCATTTGCTTACAACCAAAGTTCCATCCCTGAGACCCAGATGGGAGGAGGAAAGAACCAATTCCCACAAGTTGTCCTTTACACACACACACACACACACACACACACACACACACACACACACACACACACACACACACTTTACCTTCTTATGATAAATGAATGAGTGAAGGAGTGAATGAAAAAAAATGAATGAATTGCCTAGGCAACACTCTTTTCACTGAAGCTGTGGAGAGAAGATAAAGAGCTTTAAGACTATTCAAAACCCAGTCAGGTACAGGAAGTAATAAGCTTTGACCATCTGTCGCTTAGGTACACTCTGTAAGCTCAAAGTCAAAAGTGCTTTCAGCACTGTAGGGTCAGAGAGGAACCAGGTTTGCTTGATCTGACCGCAAGTCTGCAGTGAACTGCCGGTAGGGGACATCTGATATAGAAGACTTCTTCCAACACTGATGCTGAAGAATGAAAACAATCAGAAACAGCAGACGCAGGCTCTGCATCTCCCAGGAACAGCTACAAGCATGGATCATGGGAGTCCCAGAATGCAGTTGTAACTAAGGAAAACTTGTGGGAATGTCATTTTGCAAACCATCCTCTTCCAAGTCAGTGCTGCTTTCCAAAACTCAAAGCTCATCCTCTCCTCACTGAGGACACCACCGGTAAGGTGAAGTGAGGATGCAAACAAACAGCATACCACTGTGCACATCTGTGGTCTTGTTTTTTGGGTCTTTTTTTCCATCTAATTCTGTACCTAACTCCCATACTACCCAATGAGTGGTGGCAATGGAGCAGGAGTGTTTCGCTTTGACCACACACGCCTATAAGTTCCCTTATCTGGAAGGCTAAGGCCAAAGGATAGCAGGCTCAACACCAGGCTGAGCTACACCAGGAAGTGGGAAGGGAGTGAGGGATGGAAAGACAGAAGATGGGTGAAAGAGAAGGAAGAGGCCTTTTGCTTGCTCCCTGTCCCACCTCCATATTTTGAGACAGTCATACTCTGTAGCCTATCTTGGTCTTGAACTCACAGCAATCCTGCTACCTCAGACTCCTGAGTATTGGGTTACAGGCATGAGTCACTCATTAGGAAGAAGCAGGTTAGTGTTACTGCATCTGCTTTGATTCACAATCTTTTCTTTTTTTTAATTTTATTTTATTTGTATGGCTGTTTTTCCTGCAAGTATGTATATGCACCATTTGTGTGCGTGCTGCTTGAGGAGGCCAGCAGAGGGTGTAAGATCCCTTGGAACTGGAGTTTCAGGTGGTTATGAACCACTTAATATGAGTGCAAGGAGCCAAACACAGATCCTCTGCAAAGGCAGTGTGCTCTAACCACCGAGCAATCTCCCTAGATTCACAATCTTAAAACCCCTGTGTATGTTACTTCTGTTTCTTCTCTCAAATTTCTCTCTTAATATTTCATGTGCAAGTACTATTCTGTAATAATTTTGAATTTTACTAATTTATTGAAAGTGACCTTTTTAGCAAAAAAGGCATTATTTATTCTATTATTCTAAAATTCATCTCTTTTGAAGCCAATATTATTGGATGTTAACTGTGCTTATCAGTGAAAGGGAAAGTGTGGTGGTTTGAATAGGAATGGCTGCCATAGACTCATGTTTGAATGCTTGGCCCAGAGTGAGTGGCCCTATTAGGAGGTGTGGTCTTGTTGGAGGGAGTGTGTCATTGTGAGGACAGGCTTTGAGGCATGGTGTAGTTTAGTCTCTTTCCTGCTGCCTGTGGATCAAAATATAGAACTCTAGCTCCTTTTCCAGCACCATATTGGCCTACACACTGTCGTGTTTCCCACCATGATGATAATGGACTAAACCTCTAAACTGTAAGTCAGTCCCAATTAAATGTTTTCCTTTATAAGAGTTGCAGTGGTCTAAGAAAGAGTATCTGGGGATGAGAGGAGGCCAGCCCAATAGATAATTATAAAATATAAATACATGAGCTACCTGGTCACAAATCTTAGTAATCAGAAGTCGAACTCCATGCAACTCTGATTATCTTGACACTATTTAAAATTTGACATTAAAATACAAGAAAACAGGGCTGGAGTTGTAACACAGTTGGTACAGGGCTTGCCTTACATGCAGGCCCAGGATTCAATCCTCAGCACAGCATAAACCAGGCTTGATAGCACACTTCATAATCCTAGCACACTTTTAATCACAGTATCGGGAATTTTCCACATTGACCCTATAGATAGATGGCAGTACTTTTTTGGTTTGTTTTGGTTTGTTTTGGTTGTTTGTTGAGACATAGTTTCTCTGTGTAACAGTCCTGGCTGTCCTGGAACTCATTTTGTAGACCAGGTTAGCCTTGAATTCAGAGACCTGCCTCTGCCTCTGGAGTTCTAGGATTAAAGGTATGTACCACCAGGCCTGGTATAAATCACCATACTTTTGATAAAGAGTAAAACTTATTTAAAGTTTCTATCTATTATCTCCACCCCTCTGTGAATCACAGCCTCATGCAGGCTGGCCTTGAACTTAAAAGTCTCCTGCTCCAGTCTCCTCAGTGGGGGTTAAAAGTATGTGTCATCAGGGGTTCACATCTGTATCTGAGTGGTACGGACTTAGGTCTAAAGTACATTACAGGCAGCTGACAAGCTAAGAAACTGGCATTTCTGCTACAAAGATGATAGTTTATAAATATAATAAAAAGCTTTTATTGTTTGTTTGTTTTCGGGATAGAGTCTTTCTTTGTAGCCCTTGGCTGGCCTGGAACTAGCTATATTGAATAGCGTGGCTTCAAACTCAAAGATTCACCTACCTCTACCTCCCGAGTATTGGGATTAAAGGAGTATGCCACCACAACTGGCTAAATTATAATTTAAAACTTGAAACACTTTTTCTTTATTCATAACAGTAAAAAGTAATACTGTTAAATCTGCTTCATTTAGTTTGAATTTTGAGGTAGGGTCTCCTGTAGCTCATTCAGGCCTTGAGCTCCTGACCCTCCTGACTTTACAGCCTGAGGACTAAGACTACAGGTGTGTGTTACCTCGGGTTGTTTTTTATTTTTCTTTTTACTGAATAAAGCTTTACAAATTAGATCTGGAACAATGACCATCATCTCTCTGAGTCCAATATTCACCACAGAAAATCCTATTTTGCCTCATTTTGATGCCAATAGTGTGCTCCATAAATATGAGGTTTCTTTGTTTTAACTCCCCCAACTTTGCTGGGTTCTTCTCCCTGCTTTCCTTTCTTCATCAAAAGGGTGTGATAGAAGAAACAGGGAGTTGAGTGCATCTACCTTCATTTCCTGATATTATGAACTAAGGCTCTTGATCTAGAAATGAACAAATTCTAGTGCATACGGAGACTCATCCATTGGCTCTCTGGGCAGGCTCTGCCTTTGGCTGTAGGCTGTGGATGCTGAGCACCAAAAGGCTCTTGTGCTGTTTCTATCAGAAGCCATCACATCAAAGGTCTCATTCAAATACTCACTGTAGACGGGTTTTTTGTTTGGGCCGCCAGCTCACCAAAAAATGACATGGAGACTTATTAATTATGAAAGCTCGGCCTATAGTTTAGGTTTGTCCCACTAGTACTTTTACCTTAAATTAACCCGTTTATACTAATCTACATTCTACCTCATGGCATTTTACCTCTCTTCCATCTTACACCTTCTGTTTCCTATCTGTGTCCTCTGGCATCTCTCCCATGCCTAGATTCATCTTCTCTCCTTTTCCTGTGCCTGAAAGTCCTGCCTAACCCCTTCCTGACTAGGTATTGGCCATTCAGCTCTTTATCAAACCAATCAGAAGTTGCCTTGGCAAAGACACATCTTCATAATGTACAAAAAGATTATTCAACAACATCCCCCCACCTCCTTTTGTCTAAATAAAAGGAAAGGTTTTAGCTGGGCAGTGATGGTACACACTTTTAATCCCAGCATTGGGAGGCAGAGGCAGGTGAATCTCTGTGAGTTTGAGGCCAGCTGTTCTAAAAAGTGATTTCCAGGACAGTCAGAACTGTTATACAGAGAAACCCTGTCTTGAAAATAAATAAATAAACAAAAATAAATAAATAAATAAAATAAAAAGAGGAAAGGTTTTAACTCTAATATAATAAAACTATCAACAATAAAAACAATTATCAGGTAAGAATTACATTCACAATGTCCAGTTCATCTGTATTTGGCAAATTCAGAGTAAATATTCCATTATCTGTCCTATCTTGGTGAGTCCAAAGTTTGTACCTTGAAGAATTTACTTTTTATCCTAGTTTGTATTAGCAATCCCAAACTATTTTATCTTGTTTTTTTAAACCTCAAAACATTTCCTTAGAAAAACAATTTGAGCTTTTGTGTCTCTCAACCTTATACACTTTATACCTCTTTTGTGAGTTTCCTTTTTGAATTTGATAACAAAGAAAAATGAACAACTATCTCATCTTCAACTCCATCAGAGCCCCAAGAAGGATATATTACTTTAGCAAACAGGAAGTGAAGAGCAAGCAATTTCCATAACTATAGAAATGACAGAAATAGCTGGCTGCCTGGACAGTCACCCAAGTTTCCTCTGCAGTGTTGGGACATCTATCTTCAGCCTACAGGCCTACCATATCTGACAGACTTTTCTGTGAAGCAAGAATTTTGAAGGACTGTCCCACCTTGTCTTGGCAAAGCTTGACAGTCTTATTCCTTTGTGTCCTGCTTGTCCGGTTTGTACAGTATGCTGTCAGCAGTCAAGGTAAAGGCAGTTTCTTGCCCAAATTTTGTTTTTGCTAGCTTTATCACAATAAAAGAAAACTCCATATTGAGGTTCATTGATGCCCATCATACCTTTATAGATTGGTGCTTCCAGGAGCAGACATGTCTCACTGTCATGAAAAGCCTTAGGTTGTTAAAACATTTTAAACGTCATATTCTATAGGTCTCTGAAGTGAATGAAGACCATCTATCTATCTATAATATATCAGTTTAACTATGAAAACAAATCTAACATGACTATAAGTTTGACTGTCATAGATGACTAACTGTTAACCTGTCTTTTTTTTATTATCCTTAATAGCTTTCAAGGACTAGAACTTAACATGGCATTTTTAAATGAGGTGCATAGGTACAATATCTACAATTTCTACAAGAGTAGAAACCTATATACAGCATAACAAATATTTTAAACAAGAGTAAAAACATATATATAGTATAACAAAAATAGCCCTAAATTTGTATCAATATGCAAAAATCCGTATCAATGTAAATTAAGTAAGACTAGCAGTTTTTTTCTTAGAAAGTAGATTCAATAATATACCCTTTTATCCTATCATTTCTATATCCCACCCCCTTTTATTTTCAGAATGAAATCCCTGAATCTAATTTGCTGTGTTTAGTATCTTCCCTGACCATGACCAATAACAACTTGTGACCAACTCCCCCCAAAGGATGACAAACATCCATCAAATGACCAAAAACCACCCACTGCACCTCTTGGGAATGTGGGCATTGTGTTCTTAAAATTACTTTGTTGTCTTGGGGCAACGGCACCTATAGGGGACCCTGAGAAAATTGAAATAAAGATATGAAACGCTTCATGAATTTGTGCATCATTCTTGCTCAGCGGCCATACTAATCTTCTTTGTATCATTCCAATTGAAGTATATGTGCTGCCAAAGACAATCTTGTTCAATTATCCATTACTCTTGTCTATTATCCAGCTACACAACTCCACATTGGCAGACTGTGTTTTAGACAGCACTGTGTGGGGGGTGAAAACAAACCAAAAATCTTCCCTGCACCTGTTTTGTACCATGCAGCAGTGAAAACTTCCCACAGAATACAACTTCACAGAAGAAGAAACTGAGCATCAAAGAAGAAACTCATCTACAGCTCACAGAGGTAGAGAAAGAAGAAAGCCCTGAACCCACTCAAAACCCACTTTCTGTTTTTTTCTATTCTTTAAGTATCTATTAATATGTGCTACCCATTTCTTGATAGTTCCCAAGTGCCACCCTATATTATTACTTTATTTCCTTTTATTTCTTATTGTTTGCTTGTTTGCTTGTTTGTTTGTTGGAGACAGGGTTTCTTTGTGTATGAAGCCCTGGCGGTTCTGGAAATCACTCTGTAGACTAGGCTGGCCTTGAACTCAGAGATCTGCCTGCCTTTGCCTCCTGGGTGCTTTGATTAAATGTATATGCCACCACACCTGGCTTTATTTTGTTTTCTAAAATATGGCCATGTCTCTCATGTTGTTTATACATTTGATTCTCTCTCTTTTCCTTCCCTTCTACCCTAAACCCCCCTCTTAAAGACAAGGCTTCTATGTAGCCTATAGTCCAGGTTGGCCTGGGACTCACAGTCTTCCTGCTTCCTGAGAGCACAGAATCACAGGTATGCACACATATACCTTTTCTTTTAATTATTTGCTTTTTATTCTTGGTCCTATTTTTTTAATTTATGAAACAATAATTTTCTCCCGTAAGCTACAAAGACAGGTTTGGTAGTGTACAGCTGCAATCTCAGAATTCATGACATTAAGCAGAGGGTTAAAAAGCAGCCTGGGGCTGGGTAGTGGTGGCACATTCCTTTAATCCCAGCACTCGGGAGGCAGAGGCAGGCGATCTCTGTGAGTTCGAGGCCAGCCTGGGCTACAGAACAAGTTCTAGGAAAGGTGCAAAGATACACAGAGAAACCCTGTGTATCTTTGCAAAGATACACAGAGAAACCCACAAAACTAAACAGCCTGGGGTATAGAGTGAGTTCAAGGCTACCTGGGCTACATGCTCCCTCTCTCAAACAAACACACAGTAAGAATATTATGAAAAGAGATAAAATGGATAATTCTGGCCACTGCTATTTAAATGAAGATAAATATAGGTCTTAATACTTTGTATACTGAATGTGCCAAATTGTTTGTTTTCTAATTTATCCTTCATACCTAGTTTTTTATGTGATTTTGTATCCTCATTAAAATTAACATGAAAAGGCTAATTTTTTTTTTAAAATGCAAGCTATGTATTAGTTCTTGTATTTTTTTCCTTTGAGCTAGGGTCTAATTATATAGCTCTGGTTGACCTGGAACTCACTAATGTAGACCAGGCTGGTCTTGTCAGAGATCTGCCTGCTTCTGCCTACCAAGGGATTAAAGGCGTGAGCCACTGACTCACGTAGCTATTTTAAATTAGACAGTAGCCACATAGGAGAAATAAAACACACAAGTTGAATTAACTGTATTTAGTTTAATATTATCAGAGCCAGTGGGATGGCTCAGTGAGTGCCAGTGTATGCCACCAGCCTTGAGGGCTGGGTTACATCCCCTGTATCACACGGTGGAAGGAGAGAACGAATTCCTACAATTCATTCTCTGAACACCACACAAGTGACATGGGAGAGAATAAATACACAAACACATACATACATACATACACACACACATACATACATACATACATACATACATACATACATACATACATAATTCCTGATTTTAAAAAAGCAAACTAAGAACTTGAAAGTTAAACTACATAGGCATGTCCTACGAGTTGGTGGAGTCACCGTCAGAAGGCAAACCCTTTCCTGTGAGGCAAATAGTAATTTCATGTTTGGAGCCAGGGTGCAGTACCTCAACTCAATTACCTTGTGTAGTTCTCCTTGTATCCAGTGATGTCATCATTGGGAGACCTTAGTCTCCGCTGTGATGGAGCTTCCAGGTGCCAGTAGTTGATTCGATTCAGAAACATCTTGGCCAGCTCAATTGTTGTCTGCCTCTCTTTTGATGGCAAATGACTAAATTTGTACTGCACAAAATTATTCACACCCTGAAAAGAATTGAAGGCAGCATGTTCATGTAGCTATATGACCACACTAACTCTGAATCCAACCAGTTATCTCTGGAGTTATTTGCAAAAGAACAGGCAATCTCAGTCCACAAAAATGTCTTCCCTTTCCTTCAAAATAAACAGTACTACCCAGGGAAATCTCCCTTCTGGTCACAGTGGAGGAAAAAGTGACAAACAGAAAAACAGAATTATGATTCTATTCCCACTTCAATCCTGTAACATCAAGGAGAAAAGCATAGACACAGAACGGAAAGGTCAAAACCCCTTTAATGAGAAAAGATCCAAAATGAGGTTCTTGGATAAATGTTTTGGTCTGTGAAATTTTTAATACTTTGCTACCTTATCTTTCATCACTCTTGTAGTTTTAGCAAGAATATCAGAGGAAGAAAAAACATTCAGAAATGTACACTTTTCCAAGAGAGTTGTAGATTAAATTTTCTAGAAAATACTCCCATCTCATCACATAAAAGAACAAGAACTCATTAGTTTAGAATCAACACGGAACTTACTCTGTCAGCCATGTGATGGTGGCACATACCTTTAATACCAGCACTCAGGAGGCAAAGGCAGACAGGTCTCTGAATTTGAAGCCAGCCTGGTCTACATAGTGAGTTCTAGGACAACCAGTGTTAGCATTTAGACATTACCTGGCCCGCCCCTTGGAGACCTGACAGGATGGACTTGCTAAGGTTCAGGCAAATACCTAGACAGCCCAGGCACTAAGGCCATAGTCTGTGCACATAAGGCTGTGTGGATACTTAGTTTCTATACACATGTGCTAAATCCTCTTATTAAAGGCAAACCCCTCCCCCACTCCTCTCTCTCTTCCCACGTAACTGCGCCTACACCTGCTCTCTTCCCCCTTTCCTGTCTCTTCTCTTACTTTCTTATTCCTCATCTCCTCTGCCCTTACCTCTAGAGGCACACTGACCCACGTGAGTTCTGTTGTGTAGCATGGCTTTCTTGGGCCCCTTGGCTCCAACTGCCAAGGCTGCCTTCTGCTGGTTTTTTTGCTTGTTTGATTGGTTGGTTTGTTTTTGGTTTTTTGTTGTTGTTTGTTTGTTTGTTTGTTTGTTTGTTTGTTTGTTTGTTTGTTTGAGACAGGGTCTCTCTGTGTAGCTTTGGAGCCTTTCCTGGAACTCACTCTGTAGCCTGTAACTCACAGAGATCGCCTGCCTCTGCCTCCCGAGTCCTGGGATTAAAGGTGTGCGACACCGCCAGTCCCTTCCACTGTTTTTATAATAGCCAGGGCTACATAAACTGTTTACAAAACAGTCCCAAAAAAAATAAAATTTGTTCTCCCAAAGGGTTATTTACACAGAGTCATTTATTTATAAAGACTCTGGTATCACTGTGTGATGGTTACCTATGACAACTTGATAGGACCTAGACTCCCCTGGGGAAGGAGACCCAAAGAGTAACTGTTTACGTTGGGTTGGCACCATTCGCTATAACGGAGGTCCTGATCTTCCTAAGAGTAGAGAAACCAAGCTGAACATAAACAAGCCCGCATGCATCCATTTCTCTCTGCTCAGACTGTAAATATGATCTGATTAGCTTGGAGGAGCTTCTGCCATGTGACTTCCCTTCTATGAAGGATTATAACCTGGATTGTAAGTGAATAAAACCCCTTTCTCCTTGAAACGGCTTTTTTTTTTTTTAAATCAATTTTTTGTTTGTTTGTTTGTTTTTGTTTTTCAAGACAGGGTCTCTCTGTGTAGCTTCGTGCCTTTCCTGGAACTCACTCTGTAGCCCAGGCTGGCCTTGAACTCACAGAGATCTGCCTGGCTCTGCCTCCCGAGTATTGGGATTAAAGGCATGAGCCACCATTGCCCGGCAAAAATCAAATATTTTATCACAGCAACAGAAACAAAGCTAGAATTAGAATTAACCACACACATCCCCAAGATACAATGTTTTCCACGTCATTAATGAATTCCCTCTCTTCTTAATAGGCTTTTTCAGACAGTGCCAAATAAAAAGACAAAGACTTAATTTTAAGACATCAAGTGTTGTGGGAATTCATTCCATTCAACCAATGGCCTCTGGGCTATCTGGCCCAATGGACGTGGCCCTTTCTGGGTATGTGACTGGTTAAAACTGAGGAGGGGGCAGCTTGCTCTCTCCTGGGTGGTCGAGACCAAGTCAAGCGGAGTGAAGCAGCTTGCAGAAGAGAACAGGATAGTGACAGCTGGACCAGCAGGACCAGTGGCAGCAGCAGCGGTGGCAGCAAGTGTCTTCCTTGTTCTGTATTAGTAAGTCTGTTTCCCCACTGCACCCCTTAATAAATTGATTATATACATATATATATACACACCTCTGTGGGATCTCGCTTCAATCAAGAGTAAGAAAAGGCACATTTTATGAATTCTTACCAACTACATGTTCTACGCATTTTTCCCTACACACAGAGTGCAATCTAGGTGCACAACACTCCTAAAAGACAAAGCCCAGATTATTTATTAAAGTGAGTATGACTGTGGAACCCTGAGTGTCCTAGGTTCCTATAGTCTTGTGTTAACATCTTGATGCTGGGTTGGGATGGTTACAAGACCTATATAGAAATGTAGAAGAGGGTTGGAGAGATGGCTGGGGGTTAAGAGCACAGGCTGCTCTTCCAGAGGTCCTGAGTTCAATTCCCAGAACCACATGGTGATTCACAACTATCTGTAATGAGACCTGGTGCCCTCTTCTGGCCTGTAGGCATACATGCAGACAGGATACTATATACATAATAAATAAATAAATCTTTTTTAAAAAAATTTAGAAATGTGGAAGGAAGCATGAAAGTTCCTCAAGCTGGAATATAGCTTAATGGTATATGCTGACTATTTATAAAGTTCCAGGTTTGAGCCCCAGCAAACAAAAGCTGGGAAGGGCCCTTCAGTCTTAAATTCATGTAAAAGAGATCCTCAAAATACTTTTACCTGTTCAATACTGGGCTTTTCAAATGGGGGCCTCTTCTCCAAAGAGCCTTCAACCACAGGTTTTCCTCTTTGTAAAATAGACTTTCTCAAGAGCTGCAAAGAAATCATTTTTAAAAACAAGCTTTAGTTTGAAAGGCTTTTTATGGTATGTTTGTGGCTATGTGAGTTATGGTTTTGGTTTATTTAACAGGGTCTCCTTATGTAGTCCAGGCTGACCTTAACTCATGGCCCTTCTTTCTCAGCCTCAGCTTCCCAAATGATAGAATTATGGGTATGCACCAACATAACTAGCACTTAAAACACACACACACACACACCCCACATCACATCTATTCCTTTCCTTCCAGTTCCCACCCCACATCTACCTAACTGTTAAGTGGAGTCACCAACTATATTCTACTTAGCCACATAAGAACTCCTAGATAACACAAACTCGTGTTCCTGCTAGCCACAAAGCTAGCCACCTTTCAATTCTGAGCAGCCTGGACTACCCTGCACTGATCCCCATACTCTACCCTTCCCTCCATTTCCCCTTTGCTCCCATTTTTGCTTGCTAGGGACCCAGAAACCCATTTAGACTCATTGAGGCCACCACAGGGAGCTGAAGCTCTCAGTCTTAAACATTAGATAAGCCAGGATCCACTCCACATAAATAAGGTCAGAAAGAATTGCTGCCTGCAGAAGCTGTGAAGCCCATGTGTACTAGACACATGGGCTCAGGGGCTTGGAAGGAGCTTTCTCGACTTCTGTCTTTTTCTATTTCTTCTCTATCTGTAGAAACCAGGTGCATGTTCTCAGTGCCCACAAACCAAATACACTGCTTTTAATTCCTGTCCTAGGATCAAAAGCCTCCAAAACTACTAGAACTATGCTGAAGATGAATTCAACCCTAAGGACTCTGGAAAAATCCACACTTGGGTGTGAACAACTGCCCCCACTTCTTTTCCTCCTTTGATGCTTATGTTTAAATCTATTTTAAATACTTTTTCTTGGTCTGAATGTGGTGACTCACACGTGGAAGGCTGAGTGAGACCAGGGGATTGCCACCACTGGCTACAAAATGAGTTTGAGGCCAAACAGGGCTACAGAGTAGAGTCAGATCTCAAAGAAATAAAAAATTTCTAATTTTTACATATATTCGTGTGTATGTGTGTATGTGGATGATGCATGAACCACAATGTATATGTGGAATTCAGAGGACAACTTGAGTCAATTCTGGCCTTCCACACCATGACTCCTGGGACTTGAACTCAAGTCATCATGCTTGGCTGCAAGCACCTTTGCCCACTGAGCCATTTTACCAGACCTTTTTCTCAATAAACTCCAACTCTGAAAAAGAAAAAAGATACTGACATTCTTTCCATTCAACTCTAATTGAAATCGCCCATAGCTTCCCTCACGTGTAGGTCATACATTTATTTACTCTTTCCTTCTTTTCTCCATTTCTGCCTTTCCAGGAGATGTGAAAGGGAACAACTATTTGCTGTATTAACAAAATTGATGAATACAAGAGACTGAGCTTCTCCATCTGCAGGCAGAAGGCCTGTGTTCTCAGTGCCCACAAACCAAATGCACTGCTTTTAATTCCCACTCTAAGATCAAAAGCCTCCAAAGAGCAGACAGACAGGAAAGGGACAGAAAAAGGAACATGTCACCACAGAGCACAATACCTTCTTGGGGGTCCATTATAAGTTATGAGTGTGGACCACTTACTGATCCTTAATGTGCTGTGTCCATCTTCACAAAAATTAACTGTAATAAAGGTAAGCATTACATGTGTTTCCAATGATAAAGATTAGTCATGAGTCAGCTGTGGTGGCCCTGCCTGAATTCCAGTACCACAGAGGTGGAGTCAGGAGGGTCAGAAGGGTTAGGTCATCCTCAGCTATAAAAGACTCCATATTAAAACAACTAATCATGAATTTTAAAAACAAGCAATTCCAGTTGCCTGTGTTTATTTTTTGATTTAAATAAAATCTTTTTTCCTTAGCTCAGTTAGCCACTTGGGAATTTGATGCACAGAAATGTTCAGTTTTGAGGTGAACTGATGTGAACTGGGAAACAGTGAATCTATTTCTTCCAATATAAAGTGATGAAGCTGGAACCTGGGTATAAGGGCTTATGGTACCAACCAAGCATTCAGGACACTGAGGCAGTAAGGACTACTACAAATCCAAAGCTAGCCCATGACACTAGTGAGTTCCAGGCTAGCCTCAGCTAAATAGAAAGACCCTATTTCAAACGCAACAAAAAGATCAGCCTGGATTACATAGAAAGACCTAACAAAAGAAAAGAAAGGAAAGGAAAAGCAGAGAAAGAGGTATGGTTGGAAGAGAAGAAAGCACTGACCAGCTTGGATTCTGATTTTAGAAGCAAGTATATCTGGACTGTTGTTTGAAGATGGGGATGGGCAGTTGCGGAGACCACAGTGCTATGACCCGGGGCAATGCTTGCTGGCTTGCTTATACCAGCTGCAAGCCACATGGCCTACAGGATGGAAAGTGGCAGCTCCTTCACTTGGCAGAGCAGCAAAAGCTGCCAGGGAACTTGCTCCAAGACAAACAGTAGCTGGAGCTATACAGGCCTTGTTTTCCCTCAACTATGATATTTCTCCAAAGAAGCAGGAACAGCTAGAATCTGCCAGGGTTCTAGCAGATGACTCCAGCCTCACAGCCATGTCAGCAAGTTGCCACCTGAGGGGTTCAACCTGATGACATTCAACCCCCACCCACCCCAACCCATTTTAGAATATCCAAATAGTATCCTAAAACTTTTTAACAAATGGATTCTCCTTCTCCCTTCTGTCTTCTATTTACCTGCAATCCCTCAGTTAACACAATAAAATAAAAAGAGAAAGAAGGAAGGAAGGAAGGAAGGAGGGAGGGAGGGAGGGAGGGAGGGAGAGAGAGAGAGAGAGAGAGAGAAACAGAGAAAGAAAGGAGAATACAGAGCAAATGTTTAAAAAAGCAACAATTATGAGAATCTTGTAGAGAATCCACTGAGGTTCCCAGCAGCCACAACAAAGAGGGAATTCCATGGCTAACTTAGCTTTCTGTGTCACCCAAAGCAAGCAGAGGCTGGAACACAGCTCAATGGAGCACTTGTCTGGTACATACAACGCCCTTGTTTTAATCCCCAATACCACAAGGAGTAAAAACTAAATTTAAAAATAAAAATAAGTTAAGCACAGTTGTTCTTATTAAAGGAAGAAAATTTTGTGGGCTGGGAATGTAGCTAAGTGGTAGAGCAATTGGTACGTGCCTTGCAATCATGTGGTACACAGACATACATGCAAGCAAAACACTCATACACGTACATAAAAAGCACTACAGAGAAAGAGAGCCACCAGGGAAGGGAAGTTTCATAAAAATCTATGTAAATAACTAGGCACGGTGGCCTGTGCTTGTAACCTCAGCACCAGAATAACTGAGGCAAAAAGAGCCTGAGTTCAAAATCAGTCTGGAAATCACTGGGAGACACTATTTCAAAACTAACTTTAAAAAAAAAAAAACAAAAAACTTTTTTTAAAAAAGTGAAACCTCAAAGAAAAAAAAAGAAAATACAGACACTGGCACATGTCTCCTGGCCATGCCTTCTGTTTTGATATGTTTCCTAACATTTTTACAAGGATTGCACAATACAACGTCATCTGCAAAGAACTCAGAAACAACTTGTTTGCTTCTTGGTGTGTTTCTTTGTAAGATGCTAAGAACTGAACTCAAATGTTCTTAACCACTGAGCCATCTTCTCCAGCCCCAGGTTTCTTGTTTTAATTGTTCTTCTGCTGCCTCCTTTAGGAATCTGGTTTTGGCAATTTGTCCCCCCCATCAGCACCTGTGAACAGCTGTGTGCCTGAAGGAAAGACACAAAAAGAAGAAGTAGTTCCAGGGAGTGGTGTGGTACCCAGTATGGGGCTCGAACCCACGACCCTGAGATTAAGAGTCTCATGTTCTTTAAAAGTTAGTGAACTTTGCTTGGCAAAATGGTCCTTCAGGTTCCTGCCTCGCAGAGGAAACTGCCAGACATTCTACAGGACACAGAGAGAAGTAACTGAAAGACTCTAGGCCTGTGGGCTGAAGACAGATGCCCTAACTTTACAAAGGATCTTTGGACAACTGTCCAGGCTGCCAGCTGTATCTGCCTACTCTCGCAAGACTCCCGAAAGTTGCTTGTGTACGTCTACCATGTCTCAGGTAATATTATATCCTTCTGAAGTCTTTGATGTAGTTGAAGACTAGATAGTTATAATTTTCTTTAGTTATGATAAAAGACAAGTTAGATATGAAACCATAGACTCACAAATATAGGATAGATAGGATATCTTCTTTAATTTTGCCAAATACAAATAAACTAGATGTTACAGCTGTGATTCTTGCTTGATAACTGTTTTGTTGTATGTAATTTTACTATGTTGAAGTTGAAACCTTCCTTTTTGAAAAAAGACAAAAAGGGGAAGTGCTGTGGATGATTAACTGACAAATAAAACACTGATTGGCCAGTAGCCAGGCAGGAAGTATAGGCAGGACTAGCAGAGAGGAGAATTGGGGAAACAGGAAGGAGAAGAAGGAGACGCTGCCAGCTGCCACCATGAGTACCAACATGTAAGATAAGTTCCAACTGGTAATCCACGAGCCATGTGGCAAAGTATAGATTAATAGAAATGGGTTAATTTAAGATATAAGAACAGCTACCTAAAAGCCTGCCATGGCCATACAGTTTATAAATAATATAAGTCTCTGTGTATTTACTTGGTTGAGTCAGAGTGGCTGTGGGACTGACAGGTGAGAGAGATTTCTTCTGACTATGGGCCAGGCAGGACCAAAAAGACTCTAGCTACAGTGGTAGCAATGTCAATGACAGTCAAGGGCTTCCCTCTAAAATAACAGAGGCCCGGCCGGCTTCCTTCCACTGACACCTCCCTCCAGGCTCCCCTTGAAGGCTTCACTGCTGTGCCTGTATGCCACAGCCCCTCTAGCGCACAACTCTCTGCCTGGAAATCTCCCCGAGCAGGAATGGCTCTTTCCCCTTACAGACTTTAACATTGCAAAAACATTACTGATTGTTCACTGGCCATCTCCTTGATGGACATGTAAGTCCAAAACGGAAGAACTTTTTCTTGTGACAGTTCTGTCCCTCAAGATACCCCAATGCCATCTCTAGTTCAGGCTGTGATAAACACTTATTTGGTGGATGTTAAGAAATCTATAAACATATGTGAATCAAGATGTTCAATTTTGCACACATGTGAAGGCGTTCGTAGCGCTCATATTAGAGACTCTTGAGGAGCAAAGCCTCAGAAGCAAAGCTGAGTGCCTTCCACCCATAAACTGCACATGGGACCAGGCTCATCTGAACTTTTGCTTTGGAAATGCAAAAGTCTCACCTCACACTGGCACAGTGGCCCATAACTAAAATTCCAGCACCTAGATTTTAGATCTTAAAAGGTAGAGGCAAGAAGGTCAGGAGTTTAAAGCAAGTCTCAGCTACACAGGGAGTTTGGGGCCAAAACAGAATATATAAGACAATGTTTCAAAAAACCAAAAAAGGGAGTGGGAGGCTGGAGAGATGGCTTAGTGGTTAAGAGCACTTGCTGTTCCTCTAAAGAACTTGAGTTCAGTTTCCAACATCTATGTTGTATGGTTCACAACTCCAGCTCCAAGGGATCCAACAGCCTCTCTGGCCTTTGCAGGTACCACACTCATGTGCCTATATCTCTACACAGACACACACATATACATATAATTAAAAATAAAATAAATCTTTAAAACAATAATAAGGGGACAGCAAGATGGTTCATCAGGGAAAGGCACTTGCTACCAAAGCTGACAACCTGAGTTAATCCTTGAGGCCCCAATGGGGGAAAGAGAAAAATGACTTGCACAAGCTGTTCTCTGATTTCCACATGAAAGCCATGACATGTGTGAGTACATGTATATACATGCACACATACAAATAAGTAGTTGAATGTAAAAATAAATAAATAAAATGTTAAAAATCTCACCTTGAATAGGTAGAAATAAACTTGTTTGGTATCTGCATCTTCTTCTTTGTGGACACAGGTAAACAGGTACTCCACATCCAACACAATTCCCAGGAGTCTGTTCATTTCCTCCTCTGACACATTCTCCAAGTGGGAAACATGAGCAGCTTAAGGTGATACCAAGGAAGAGGTGTAAGACTCAAGAGACAGTCACAAACATTATCCATATTGAAAGAGAAGGTAATCAACTAGCATGGTGGTATTTGCCTATAATGCCAACATTTGGCAGGCTGAGACAGGTGGAACACAAATTCCAGGCAAGCAAGATCCCAAATGAAATCATAAAACAGTGGGGTCGTCAAGATGGCTCAGCAGGTAAAACCCACTTGCCACACAAGCCTGAGGACCCAAGTTCAATCCACAGAACCCACGCTGGACAGAAATGACAGACTCCTGACAGTTGTCCTCTGATCTCCTGACATATGCCATGTCATGTTCACACCTACACTCACACACATGCACACAATAATAAGTAACCAAGCATGGTGGCTTTCAGTGAGCTGGCTCAGTGGATAAAGGTATTTACTACCCAGATTGAGAACCTCAGTTCAATCTCCTCATGTCACACAGTAGAAGAGAACCAACTCCAAACAGTTGTCCTCTGTCTCCATAAGCACACTGTGGCACACACACACACATACACAAGTACACAAATACACACACAATAAGAAGTTAGAGAGGACAAAGCAATCCTTGTAATCTGCTCACCTGAATAAATCTAATGGACACATCTGAATTAACAAGCATCAACAATGCATCTTTGCATTATCAAATTGAGAAGGAATTGATTGGCTGGGCATGGTGGAGGACACCTGCCATCCCAGCACCTGGGAGACTGAGGCAGGAGTTTAAGAAGAGCCTGGATTACAGAATAATACTCTGACTCAGAGGATCCTAGATTAGAACAAAGTATAATGGTACATATGTATGAAAATGCCATAATGAATTCCATTACTTATATGCTAAGTTAAAATTAATTACAAAAAAGGAAAGCCTCAGCAATGCTCCTGTGTCTGAGGTTTGCTCTTCTGTGGAAGAAATAGGCTGTTTCCCAGGCTAGCACCTTGTAACCACACCTCCTATCACTTCATACATCACCACACCGAGCTCCCCTGTGTCAGGTTAAGCACTAGAGATTTGTATGCTGAAATTTATTGAGGGTTTTTTTTTGGTGGGGGGGGGGCTGGTTTCTGTTTTGTTTGTTTGAGACAGGGTCTCACTGTATATCCCTGACTAGCCTAGAATTTATATGTAGACCATTGGCCCTAAACTCAGAGAGACCTGCCTGCCTCTGGTTCCACCTCTGCCTGGTATGCGTGTGTGTGTGTGTGTGTGTGTGTGTGTGTGTGTGTGTGTGTACGTGTATTAAGACTGCAAAATTTGTGTCTAAGGATACATTGCTTTGCATGTGTGTGTGTGTACGTGCGTGTATGTGTGTGTACATGTGTATGTGCATGTGCACGTGCGTGTGCATGCATGTGTGTGCATGCATGTTTGT